TTCATTGTCCAATACCAATCAGAAACCAGAGGACAAGGACAAGGAAACTCAATCCTTGTCCTTGACTCAATCCCAGGGTCAGCCTCTGGGATACAGAGGAAAGTTAGGGGGTTGGAGATGGGGGGACAGGGCTACAAACAGAGAAACCAGCAGAGGCTAACACGACAACTTCCACAAATCATCCTGCACCCGGAAGGTGGCCAAGGAGTGCTGAGGCTCCAGGACAGCTCCGCGGGCTCTGGCTGTGGAGTGCGCTGTCTCCCGAGCCTCTGTTTACATGGCTTCTTAGCAGTTTTCACAACAGCACCCTACTACTTATGAGTGGAATATCTCGCACCACAGCAAGTGTCCCAAAGGTCAAATTAAAAATGAAATCACAGAGTAAAGGCAACAGTGAGCCGAGGAATTAAACTGCAAGAGGGACCCGCCAACTGAGAATACGGCGTATCAAAAGATGGCACATCTACAGGGCACGGGAGTGAGAACAAACATGCTGGAAATTAAATATGAAATTGGTAATTATGTAGTAATGAGGTTGGGGATGTTACAAAGGACATTGCCATTTCAACCATCACATCTCGACGTCGTAATGACGGGGAAAACCCCTTCGGCTTTGTAATTATAATCATAGTTGCCATAACAACTTAGCATCTCTCTCCCTGCGCATCCGTCTCCAGACTATTTTTAGTAATGGCTGTGCCTGAGTCTGTATTTTTCTTTATATAGCAGCTAATTTTTCAAATTAATGATCTTTCAAAAAAAATTCCATTTTATTCTCTCCAAAAGTGTAAAAGTCTCAGGGATAATTAGGGAAATGAGCAGGTGTAAAAGTCCCTTATGAAAAATGCTATGAAAGTATTGATGTCTTGACAATATTTGCTTCGAAAGAATGTTCTCTGGACCTCTGTTCTATTGTTCCTTGTCAGGCAGCTTAACATAAATCTCCTCTGTGGGGCTCATAAATATTTGAAAAATTATTAGCTGTGTAAGGTGTTTGAGGATTATTTGACAAGTACAGATTTATGTTGTATAACAGAAACTGGCTTAGCAGAATCCTGAGTCTAAAGGCATGACTGAGTGGACAAACATTGGCTTACCCTGCTTAGTGGACGTGCACTTAGCAGGCTGTCAGCTGAAGCAAACAATGGGTTGACTTTCAAGAACACACATGAAGAACTCAGACACCAGGAGGGATGCTGAGCTGCCATTTTGGTGGCCCACTGGCCCCAGCTTTTATCAGAAGCTGGAGTGTCTGGCTTCTCGGCATAATCTGAATATCTCATGCGAGTCAGCACATTCCCAAGTTCCATCTACACTATGGAGAGACACTAACAGCCCTTCCTTAAGGTTCTGGACATGAGTTAAATAGCCAAATTATTAGGTTGAGAACAAAAAGGTCTCAGGTCCCAAGAAGAAGTCCTCTTTGGCCGATGTCATGAAAGACCCCAGCCAAGATAAGTCATGCACAAGGAGTTCTGCTTCTCTGGAACTCGACCGATTGCTGTGAAAGATACAGAATCAGCAGATCATAATATTCGGTTGTTTACAAGTGCTGTGCAGGAGGCCACACTCTATGGTTGTTGCTCACTGGTAAGTGGACAGGACTGTTTAGGTGAGGAGGTGAGCCTTGCAGTCTTCCCCAGAGGGTATGGACTATATGGGGGGTTGTGGATGCTTCAGTAGGACAGCAACATCGCCAGTGGGTGTTTCAGGGAGGGCAGAAAGTAGCCTTGCATGCAGGGTGGACTGCAGGTGGGAGAGGCCAGATGCAGGGAGAGCTACTGAGCAAGTGTTCCCACCTTCCACTACAGAGCTCTGAGCGAGGGACTAAACCAGGTTTGCCAGCAGGAACAGAGGAAGAGGCTGACTAAGGAACATGCACCACAGAGCAACAGGACTTACTGACCAACATGGTAGATACACTAGAAAGTGAAGGAGGGGCAAAGGTGACAGGACAAGTCTGCATCTGGAAGCTAAAGAATGACTCCAAGGCAGACAGACAGGAGTTGGGAGGCAGGGTGAGGCTGGAGGACCAAGAGAAGGAGGTCAGCGTGGCCACCCCGTCTTCCTAAACTTCATAAATGCCGACTGTGCACATTTCCAGGAGAGCAGCCCCAGGGAGGGGACGTCTGAGGGTGACAAAGGACACTCCAGGAGCCATGCAGTGGGCTGCTGTTTGGGGAGAATTGGCATCGATGCAATCGATTGTTGTTCTGTTGTGCTCGCTTTAATTTTGTGACTCTAATACACAAACAAGCATTAGCAGAGAAAAGAGCATGAGTGGGACTCATTTCCTGATTCTGGGGATGCCTCGAGAATCACTTTTGGGTGGGACATTCTGGATACTTACAGATACCGTGGGTCATGTGTGTGGGGTGTTGTTTACGTAAGAGGTGCCAGGAAAGGAGGAACTGTTTTCAGAACTAATGGGTTTGGGCACAGATTGATACTGTCTGAATTTAAACACTGGGTAAAGGCAGAAGGCAGGGTTTCCTTGGCCATGCCAGTCTTCTGTATGTCCTGGGCTGAATCTGAGCCTTAGGGTCTGCTGTAAAATAGGAGGGAGAAGATCAGCCTTAAATGTCAACTGGAAGAACTACTAGAGGCGCTTCTTAGCCAGGCACACACTGAACCCACCCTGGAGACTCTGCAGGTCTGGTTGGGCCTGTCCATCTGTAGATTTGGGCTCTGGTGGAGGTGGCGCAGGCCTCTGCCCTGCCCTGCCCCGCCCCATCTTCACAGCCCCTGTGTCTTGTGAGTGCCCCACACAGCAGGTGTGATACTGGCATGGGGCTTGCCCCTGGAACCATTCTTCTGTTTTGCTTTTGTGTTATTGTCTGGAGCATCTGGCTTCAGATGATACAGCCCCTGTGAGTGAGCCCTGGGGACAGACCACGATGGGGACTCAGAGGGGATCCAGGTCCAGGGAGCAGCCCAGCCTAGGACTGCTCAGAGAGTGGTGGGCTTTCTCCCTTCACTCTGGAGACCTCTGCTGATTCTCGGTTCTGGGGTATCCTGGGGAGTGGACAGGCAGGTCGAAAGCCTTCTAGCCTTCCCAGGTGGGACCTGCATCAGTTCTGCAGCCTCCTTCTCTCATGGTTTCTAAAGGATGGCAGATGGGTGGCCTGTGTGAGATAAAAATGAGGCCAAGAATGGCAGCTGTCCTGGACCACTGCCTGCTGCGGGGCTCAGATATATGACTCCCTCACTCTCAGGGAAACGGTACCTGGATCCAGCTCAGTGGCATCCTGGGATCACACCACAGGCCCAGAGGGACTAGCAAGGGGATGGGCCATCCCAGGGATGGTGGGTCAGTTTGTCCCTGGCAGACATTACAGGCCCACAAAGATTTCTGTTCCCAAATCCCTAGAACCCATGAATAGGTTCAGTTACATGGCAATGTGGACTTTGTAGATGTGACTAAAGTCATCTAAGGTACAATTATCCTGGATTATCTGGGGAGGTCCATCTAATCACATGAGCTCTAAAAAGTAGAGAACCTTCTTCAGCTGGAAGGAGGAAAGATGTGGCAGGAGAGGGACTCAGTGTGCCAGCACTGCCTCTGAGGTGTGGGGCCTGGAGGAGCCCAGGGAAAGCACAGGTGGCCAACAGGGGGCAGTACTGGCTGGGCTGGTGTCTGGTAGGTAAACCATACTCTCTCCTCCAACTGCAAGGGACTGAATTCAGCCAATACCATGAGTGCACTTGGAAGTGAGTCTTCCCCAAGGTTCCCCCAAGAAACTCAGCCCTGTTGATTGCATGATTTTAGCCTGGTGATGCCTGCATCTCTAACTCCAGGCAAAGCTGTGGGATGGTAAATAGGTGTGCTTTGAAGCCACCAAGTCTGTCATTTGTTACAGCAGCAACAGAACCCAGCGCAGCCCCTGGGAACCCAACATCTGTCTGGAGAGAAGAAGCTGCAGGCCTCTGGGCTTGGGCAGCACGTCAGGGAAATGATGAAAGCTGATGGGGCAGGAGGGTACTCATCACAAGCTGGGGGCTCTCTGCGTGGGCACCTGCTCCTTGATGAGCAACCAGCCCTCCTGTGACTCCTGGGACCACAGCCCTTGGGTAACTCCTGTCTGTCCCAAGGTCCAGCAGAATCCCAGTCCCATATGGGAGCAGGGGTCCCACAGGGGCAAAAGGCCCAGCTTCCATGAACTTTACTGCAGGAACCCTGTGGGGGGTGGGGAGACCTCAGGAATTGCTCATTGCAGTTCCTGAAACAGAATTGCAGCCAGCAGGGAAGGCAGGCCGCGGCGTGGCCAGCCCAGCGCACCAGGCCGGGGTCCCCAGCAAACGCTGGAGGCCAGTTTTGGGCTCTAACCTGACTTAGGACCTTGGGCCACCTGTAAAAGAAATGGAACAGCAGGCCTCAAAGTTTCCTTCTAAGATTCAAACTTCTTGAAGTTTCTGGGGAAGGGCGCCCAGCAAGGCTGCACGCTGGCTGGCCTTGGAGGGGAGAGGGTAAGGAAGGGCTGGGGACGTCCCCCTGGGTGCAGTGGCTCCAGTACCTGCTTCAGACGGCCGCCCCGGCGGGTTTGGAGGGGAAAGGGAGGGAAGAGGAAGGGCGGGGCCGGCCCCCCTGCGCCCGCCCCGCGCCTCTGCGGCCCCTCCCCGGTCTGGCCGGGTCTGGCCCTGCCCAGCCCAGCAGTCCCACCGGCCTGACGCCTCCAGCGCCCCGTACGCGGCGCAGCTGTGCCCCGCGCCCCTGCCCGGCACCGCCGTCTGCCCGGCGCTCCCGGTGACCGTGACCCTACTCGGGGCGCGGGGCGGAGCGGGCATGGCCCACCGAGGAGCAGTCGCCCCTGTACTGACTCTGGCTCTCCTGGCTGTGGCCTTTGCCGGGGTCAGAGCCCAGGGTACAGCCCCCGAGGACCCCGACTACTACGTGCAGGAGATCTGGAGTAGGGAGCCGGAGCCTGAGCCCTTCTCGCCGACGCTGCCCGCCGGGGCCGGGGTGGAGGAGCGGGAGCCGCGCCCGCCAGAGCCCAGGCCGCCCAAGAGGACCACCAAACCCAAGAAGGGGCCCAAGAAGGAAAAGCTGGCTCTGGAGACGCCTCCACCAGGTAACTTTCTCCGCAGGACAGCCCGCGGCGCTGCCGGCGGCTGCGTTCCTCGAGGGGACAGTCGGTTTCCCTGACTGAGTGACTGGGTAAGCGAGCCCGGCGAACCAACCGGTCCTGCCCCAGCCTCCGCGGAGACTGCACCTGCGCTTCCCGCCAGCCCCTCCCAGCTCCCCAGAACTCGTGACCCCGTGACCCGCATCCCAGCTCTGTCAGGTAGACAGAGCCCTGCAGTTGAGAAGCTGCCAGGGGAGCCGGGTTCCTCCGCCCGCAGCCTGAGATCCCCTGGGGAAGGCTCCCTGCGGGACGCTTTCCGCCTGTGCGGACGTCTCCCATTTCCCTACACCGTTTTCTTGAGAGCGAATTTCTGACTTGGCGAGGAGAATGGCCGGCCTGTTTGGGCAGACCGCCTTCTGGAGAAAGCTGTGAGAGGGCCTTTACCCCGCCAGTGTCCCCTTAGCTCCTCCTCCCCCTTCAGTGGGTCCCTTAGTCCTCCACAGCTGGGGCAGGATGGCACGGCCTGGGAAGACCGTGCCTGGTCTCTGCTTCAGCTTTATTGGGGGGCGGGGGGAGGACTGTCTTCTCTCCATCCTTCACCCCTGCTCACACTCATCCTCAGCTTCTGCCAGGCCCGTCTTGGGGAAGTGACTTTCGCTGGGTTTATTAAGGGAAGCCAGCTGCCCCTTGTGAAGTGCGACTTTGTCTCAGTTGTTCCAACTTTGCTCCAATTGCAGGGGGCTGCAGGCTTAGTATTCCGAGAGCAGGAGCGAGCAGACTGTGGCCAGATCCTGTCTTTCAGTGGCCTTCCCTGAAAGCAGATATTTTAATGTGCCACCGTCGCCACACCCCTAGGTGCAGAAGGCATCAGCATAGTTTGGATAAACCGCTGGTGAAAGTCAGCAGCCAGGAAGGAGGGAAGGTGGTGAGGGAAGGGACGTGGGGACTCAGAACTCTTGAAAGGGTGGGTCCATCTGAGCACCCCTCTTTGCACAGGCATGGAGGCCTTGTGTTTCAATTTGTGGGGAACTTGGAATCTGCAGGCATTTTTGTGAGTTGTAAAACAAACTTGAACTGAACTATCCAGAATTTCCAGTGTTTCAGGAGGAGTTATGGGAATTAAGGTGTATAAGGGCCACAGGAGTGGGTGGAGACGCTCCTGTGTGTAGGATGTGGCTGTTAGAAGCTTTAGGTGTCCTTATCTCACTCCTTTCAGGGGCTCTGGAGGGTGGGTGTTCTTGATTTATTGCTGAGGAACCTGAGGCTCACTTTAAGTAACTTGCTCAGTGCCGCTTGCTGGCTCTGTGTTTCTTACTTCGAGGCCTTTTTTGGCTTGGTCTTTGAATTGAATTTATATACATCCCTATTGTGTAGTGTCTGGTCTGCATTCAGCCCAGCTCTGGACACGGCAGGGTGGGGTGGTGGTAGACCCGTATGTTAGCTTCTGGCAATCACTGGGGTAGGAGCGGGAGGGGAAATGGGAGAAGCCCCAAGGCTAGGATCCCACAACTCTGCTTAACACCCAGGTTGAGGGCTCATGGCTCAGCTTCCGGTACCTCAACCCTGATCTGTGAACAGAACCAGAGCCTCACTTTGCTTTGTCAATTGCTGTAAAGGCCCTTCCCCAGCAGCTTCCAGGCTGCCTGTAAGCTGGTTCTTCTGGAACCTTCACTCATTCCATAGGTCTTTACCAAGAACCTGCCTAGCACTGGATTCTGGATAGGGTCCTAGGATAGGGCAAGACAGTGCTGGCCCCCACTCCCATGGAAGCCACAGAAGTTAGAGTACTTTAAAAGAGTAACTTGGTTGCACACAAGTGTGGGGTGTTAAGGAAGTGAACAAATAGGGAGCTCACCTAGACTAGGGGCTCGGAAAAGCTTTCTAGGGGAGGTGACATTCAAGGCTGACAGGAGAGTCTGCTTTATTGTCCCAGAGACTCTTACTGGTGGCCAGCCATCATTCCTAAGATAGTTTTCTTTCCCTACAGAAAACAGATCAAAGTCACAGCCTGGCCTTGACAATGTGCACAGGCTGATGTGTCTGTAGACTCAGATGTTTTGGTGGGGAGGTGACTTTCCATAGTCCTTTGAGCATCAGTACTTGCCAGCCTTGGACTGGGGTCTACTGAAGGAGAAATCATGGTACAACCCATTTGCAAGAAAAAGGTAGTTTGTTTTTGGACAGTTATTTTGTAGGTAGAAATGAACTGTGGTGTAAGAAAGCCTATTTATTCCTGGCGAATAGCCTCTCCTCCTGCAGGAAATGGGCTCCCCGGCTCAGCAGGCCTCTGGCATTACCCTGGATCACCAACCCCCTGAGAAGACAACAGGGTTTTGGAAATTCTGGAGACTCGGATCAGAGTCCTTGTGGGGGAGCTCCCTCTGCCTCCAGGCCTGCCACTGTTCAGGCTTGTTTTTAATGAGTTATGGGTGTTTTTTTAGAACTCCCTCAAATATGACAAGTGTGACATTTGTCTTATACTTTTAACTTCTGTGTGTGTTTGGTCAGCAGAGCCCACCACTCTGGACCTCAGGTGGGGAAGGAGGGGACACTGATTTAAGACTAACCTTGATTAGGGAAGTCAATGCTAGCTTTATGCAGTGAAGCTGCACTAGGAGAAAATTATTTTTTCCCCACATTAAGTGGTGCTTTAATCTACACACTACTCATTATAGTAGAAGCATTTGTTTCTGCATTGGACTGTTTTGTAAGCAGGAGGTCAAATCTTAGGAAGGCACTTAGGGAGGAAGGAACACTGGGCCACGGTTGGGGGTGTTTGAGGCTTCACTGGGTCGATGGTGTGTGCTACCTGCAGGCGTTGTCTAGACCCTGAGGTGGGGATGAACAATTAGATTTATAGACGCATAAGAATATAAAAACATATGGAGTAAATTTAAAAGTCTATCATGTGCTTCATCTTTGCAGATAAAATATTTTCCAGATAGCCCTTGTCTTGCATAAAGCTGGTGCTTTCAGAAACATTGTGCAGGCAAATGTTCTGGGAGGAAGTCTTAATCCCACAGGAGAGTTTATGCAAGGATCTGGGGGCACTGAGAATTTGATCTTGGTATAGATTTGGCTTTGACCCTTGGTGGTGGTTTTTGCATCACCACAGAAATGCCTGATGGACATGACTTGCTGACCAGCATGGAGGTGTGTCAGGGCCCGGGACTGGTCGGTCTCCAGCCCAGCTTAGGTAGGTTCTGGACACAGACCACTAAGCTACCTTGCTCAGGAACAGTTTCTCTTAGGTGCCTGAGGGCTACCTACTTTAGCTGGAGAGAGAGAGAGAGATAGTATCTTAGAGTAAAGCAGTCTTCTTAGAACAGATAGATCTTAGTCTTTAGCAGAGCTTGGTAATCTTCAGCAGAGAGAC